TAGGACTGATGAAGCCCATCAGAGGACATCCCATAACAAATGGAGTGGCACTGGTAGACTCCTTAAACTCCAGCTGTCTTATCTTTCAGAGCAGTTGGGAGGAAAACAAGCCAGGCAATATGGTAGCAGGGAATGGAGGAGTGATAACACTGAAGAAATCACTCTCTCTATAGCAAACTGATAAATTAGTATGAATTGAGTTTGGCAGTGACACCTGAATGCCCTCCTAGTCCCAGACAGCATAAAAGGAAAATACTACATTAGGTATGAAACTCCGTGGCCCTATAAAAGCGTGTAGCAATTCTTTTTTTTTTCTTCCAGAGAAACAATTTCCTATTAAGATACTATATACTGAATATCAACATCAGTTAACTACAGACAACACGATCCAGGTAACAGCTTTGTGTCATGTAGAAGGTGGGATTCAAGTGCTAATACAGAGAGATATTACCCTGGACAATCCTGCCATTGACATACAGGTAAATTGCTATTCCTTTGCTCTAACTGCAGTGGCAGTGAAAGGGGAAATTGAGCTCTCGTGCACACTTTCGTCCCTGAAAGAGATGCTTGGCTCACATTCTGCCATGGTCCGTCACAGCATCTCGTAGTATCTCCTCTTCTGATGACTGAGAGGACTCAGATAGAAAATTATACCAAGAAACTGTCCTTTCAAGCATTTTCTTTGCACAGGTACTTGGTGAAGCAAAAGTGAATAAAGAAGTGGATGTGGAAGTGACATTTACCAATCCTATTGATATAGAAGTGACGGACTGTATGCTACAGGTAGAAGGCAATGATCTGCTCAGAGGAATCCTTGAGATAGAGTAAGTACAAGGCATGCCTCCTTCCTGCTATTATGCCTACACGAGAGCAAGAACGTAGGCATGGATGACTTGGAGCCGAACAGTGGGATGAGACAGCATTTTCTTCTTGCTGTAACTTGGGAGGCCAGTCAGTGTAACATCTCATAATGAAGCACACAGCTTTGAACCAGCTCTTCATCTAAGCTAGGCTTTGGCTTCATCATTTGGGAGGTCAAATAATTGCTGTCATAATTGGATGTAACTTGTTTTCCTGTCTACCCGACAGTTCCAGCAAAAAAAATACATGCTTACCCATGCAGCAAATTTTGCTGAGGCTGTCTATGATGCAATAGGCTAGACAGGCTGAACCTTCTTGTTCTGATCATAGCGCCAACAATACATGACTGTTTCTGTTCCTACTATACCCAAATTATAGCATATATAACTAGGATTTTTTTTTTCACTTTATTAAATGGACTGCAGCTGCCAGTCTGGGTGATCAGCCTTCTAAACAATTTGCATTTACATCAAACAGATAGACATACATGTAAAAAGCAGACGCACCAGTGTCGCAGCTTTGGGAACAAAAATGAACACAGATTGTTTAGACAGAGATTGGTACCTCTGTGAAGTACCACCCCAAGTATGCTCCATGCATAGCTACTCCAGACACAATAAATCACAACTAAGGAGGATAACTTTTGAAGAACAGACTAAGCCGTGATCAGCACCTACTCCTTAGATGATTGAATTTACTAAGGTCTGGAACATGAACACAGCTGAAATCCACGAGTCAGGCAGGAAGAGAATAGGAAAAATGGTGAATACTACAACAGAAGTTTGTTTTGAGTTGGTTTGGGTTTTTTAGTTTAAAAAAAAAATTTTTTTCCACAACAAGAACTACAGGCACACTGGTTTTCAAGCTCTGCTTTCAGAACTCTACAAAATATTTATGTTAGGAGATTAATAAACAGAGTCCAGAAACCATTAGATGGTGTTGAGATGGTGAATGAGAAGATGACTAAAATAGTTTCCTTTTACTATAGATGACAGGTTCCTATTTTTATGCTTTCACCATTTTGTATCTTGTCTTGCTCTTTTTCCTTCAGTATTCCACAACAGAAAGGTTAATTTTTCAGACTGTACCCCACTTTGCACATATACAGAATTGCACACAAATTTCAACGTAAGCTAGCAAATGCAGTTATTTCTAAAAAATACCTGGGATATGGGAGTGTGCTCTTTAACTGAATACACACACACAGACAAACACAAACAAACCAACCTACACAGCAACTTAACATTGCCATTTGCACTTCACCAACTAGGAATGGTCTATCCCATCATTTATAAGCTCTCCTGAGGGAATTTAGCTACCTCACGTTGTCTATCGCATACGACTATCCTTGGGCAAGACAAAACAATATGACGGGGTAAGGCTGTTTGGGAAAACTATAAACATGAGTTTTCAAGAAATGCAAAATATGCTGGTTTTAAACATTTTCACTTCCATTCAGAATTTCCTGCTGTATAAACACAGGTCTAATTCAGGCATTTATATTAACATGCTTCATGGTCTCAGATTTTTCTTTTTTAATAATTCAGTGATGTGCTTTATACCCTCAGTTCTGCATAAAGTTCTATCTCATACGACACTAGTATGGCCCCTTTTGTGTGCTTATCTGGGTCACTACCTAATGTACTCGTGAGAGACCTTAATGCATACCTTTGAGTATTTAAATACATATCAGAGAGCCAAATCCTGTATGGTCTTTTCATGGCCATCAGACACTGAACTGATAGGAATTCTTACTCAAGATCAGAGATGGTTAGTGAAGAAACTCAAGCATGATGCATAAGCCTGTTTTCAGCTTGTATTTTTCCCTTTGTTTCCTATTTTTAGCATACCACCACTGAAAGCCAGCGAGAAATCCAGTACAAAGTTTAAACTCATCCCTTTTGAGGCGGGTCCCAAACATCTACTTGTTAATTTCTCCTGTGATAAATTTCCAGATGTCAAGACCTTTAAGATGGTAAATGTGATTAACTAACATGAAGATATATAGTGAATGGTCTGTGCGTATAAATTGAACAAAATGCCATAAGAAATCTTGTATAAGAAAACAATGAGAAAATCAGCAAAACAAAATCCTCACTTCCTGTGATAAGGGGTTACCAATATCATATTATCAAAATTTTACATTGTAATTTTAAATAAACTGAGGAATAGTTGATTCTTCATTTACTGCTGTGAGTGTCCACGTTATTAAAAAGAGCATCTTACCTTCTACACAGAGACTGTTTGACTCCTGTCTGGTTTTCCTTGAAAATTGTTCTCTCCGGCTCCAGATGTCTCTTCCACAAACATTTATAAACTCATTTTTACACATTCAAAGCCTTATGCAGTGGATTTTCAAAGTGGTGTTGCTCCTTTACCGCAACAGTGATACTAGAAAGTAGCCGGGATGCGTCGCATGATTTATGGGATTTAGCTTTGTCTTTTTTGCTGCAAAGTCTGTCCTGACATTTTTGCTTCTTTGGTAAATCACAGTGACCAAATAAGGCATAGGAAATGTTCAAAAGAAATCTGGGTGACGTACAGTTTGAGAGCCATTTGACAAACACCGAGATGATTGTTCAGCTCAATATGCATGATATTTTTGCGTGCTGATATTTTGCACTTGCTGAAAGTCTTCTTTTGGAATCAAAGGGAAGGTAATCTTCAGTCTAAGGGTATTTAAACTTGTGAAGAGTTAGGGATTCTTCACTATAGATTGTGTGTCAGGAAGTCATCTCTCAGAGCTTGAATTTAGTAAAACTCGCTTAAACTGTTTATGGGAGGATAGGTACGGGCTGAAAGCTGGGTTCCAGGATCAAGCGAACTATGTGTATCCCAGTGAATGACTTGGTTTATGGCCAGTAATTGTACAACAGTAATTCGATCTCTGACTGAAAATCATCTGTATAGATGAAGTGAATGGAAAGTCAAGCTACTGCTCTATTGCACTTTGGACTGCTGGGCCAGAAAGCCAATAAATCTTAACAAGTACCTGAAGCCAGTTCTGTGCCCCCACTTCCATCACACAGCACAGGGTAGCTGTGACTTGACACGGGGACTCCTCACTTACATGAGCAGCCCAGGCTGAGATTGGCTATAAATTCTTTTTGTCCTTGCAGTCTGCAAAATTGCTTTAGGAGGGCACTTGCAGCCACCTAGTTGTCTACTCCCAGTCACATGATGTCAGTACAAGACCATACTGGACATATAATGAGATGAGCTACAGCGAGGCTGTACAAGTAGCCCACAGTGGTGCCCTCTCTTTTTCTCCTGATGTTCCCCTCAAGGCTTGCCAGAGCCAAGAGCTTTCATCACGTAGACCAAACAGTAGAAGCTGAAGTTCAAGCATAGCCTTGGATGTAGAATGTGCATATACACCTAATGACTTTTTACACCTCTTGCATGCATGAACACAACCAGACTATGCTAAAGTCAAGTGAATTGCACTAGCAGAAACGAGAGAAGCTTGGAAATCGGACCTCTAGGGGAATTAAAAGGAAAGCAACACCCTTCCCCTGTAATGCTTCACGTGCACATGAAGTTAATGTGTCTAAGTAAATGTGTACCTACACGAATACAGACTCACAGAAGGTATTCTGCAACATTTTTTGTGGAAGTTATACCGATACCCTGAGGATCAGTTAATACTGATCAGTTACCCTGAGGATATGATAGCACAATACCTGAGCAAACAAAATTATGAAGGCTATGAATGAAATAGGAGTATGTTTTACTCTGGAAGTTATTAAACTGCACTGCAATGTTAAGGCTCTGAAACAAGGGAAAAAGGAGGAACAAAATATTTTGAACCATTTTGGATGATGGGTGGGTGGAATTAAGCTAGGAAAACACCTGTGACAATGTTAAATCATTAGTCACTTAGGAACCATGACCACTGCATTCCAAAGGGATTACAAAAGCAGTTGCTGATGCTTTGCTGTGGTGAAGGTGTGGACTAGCAGGTGCCAGTTTGGGATGTAGGCCAGTCTGAGAGAGAGGTTCTGGTGGCTTGGTGAACACCACTGTGGGCGTGTCATACAGAGGTAAAGGCGGTGGCTGCAGCCGAGACAGAAAAAGTGTTCTTAGATTTAATTACTTATATGAGTAGCAAGGAAGAAGAAAGGAAATAGTCATACTCCAGCAGGAGTAATGTGTAACATCTGAAGCAATCACTGTAAGTACTGAATGCCTAAACTTAAGAACTGGTTGATGCGGTTTGTCACTAGGGCTGTGTGTGAAGATCAGGTAACATCAGAAGCTTGTGGCTCTTATGGTTTCCAAGGAATATTAAGGAAAAAAGACCAACTAAAGTAGCTCTGAACAGCAATCAAACCCATTTGAGGTGATCCCTGGAACAAGTTTTGACAACCTGAACATCCCAGCAACTTCCAAGAGGAAGAAGGATCTCTGAATTATAATGTAAGTGGAGATACACCATATCAGATATACTGCTGCCAAGTGTGAAAAGTTTTAGTTTTTTTTCTTTCAGGATAGGGCTGGCATGAATGCCATATAAGCAAGTACTCTCTTCGTCTTTGTGGTAACAAAACAAAATTTCTCAAAAAGGCGCAAGAAGCCAATTTTTTGTAAAAGCAACCTTAGGAACAGCTGTTTAGCAGCAGCTTAATTTCTGGTTCTTTTTTTTTTTTTTTTTTCCTTTGTAACTTAAAACTCAGACTATTTTTCAAGTCTTTACTTTACTAAAACATGATCACTGATGCTCTGAAATCTTAAACAGATAAATATTCCTCCCCACAACCATGTCACTTTATTACCTGTACACTTTTAACTGAGGGTACAAAAATGTATTCACAGGTGTGAAGATAGACAGTCTTAGAGTTTGCACTGATAAAAACTACTCATGGTTAATAGTTTGGGGGTTCATTCCAAAATAAAACTTTTGGTGAAATAGTAGCATGGAGCTGGCTAACACAACAGGTAAATATACATTTGTTTCTGCTGAGAAGTTATAATTTCTCATAAGTCAGAGAGTGTTGGAGATAATTTGAGACCCCAAAAAACCCTCTAAAACCAACTCACAGCTGTTGAACAAAACCAGAAGTGACATTAACCAATCTGGAAGTTAAGTAATCGGGAAATGCTCCTTTTTCCTTTATATGGCTTTTGCGCCCAACCACACTCCCTGTTTCCTCATCCTTAAATATAACTTATTCACGGCACACCTATTATCCTTTGTAGGAAGTTCTTCTTGTCTTGGGGTTCAAGAGAACGCATTTCCTCTGAGTAAATAATTCTGGTATCTTGTCCCATAATTACACCCACGTTGAGTAGGAACATTGGCATTAGACATACATATATTATAGGAACTAGTTAATTCATTTGACAAGTCTACAGGTATTAATAACAACTGCTAAGTACCTCTCCCTTCTCTCAAATTTCAGCTGACAGCACGAAAAGGTTGCTGGGTTTTTTCTTTTTATGATTAATGTGACTTGGACATCCTTGAAGAACAAAGTAGAAGTTGTATGCAATTCTCATAAGCTGAGGGAATGGCAGGTGAGTTCTGCGTGTCATTTGCTTCCCTTCAGCAGGTATTTTATTCAGGACGGTTTCCTTGAGATGCATGCCCTACAGGTATCTGCTCAGGTTTCTTATCCAAAGGAAATTTTATATTGTAATTTATTCTTGAACTTCATTTTCAATGTTTTATTGTTGTTATTATTAAGACCTGTTTGACAATAATTTTTAAGCTAAGCAGAGGATATTCTGGAGGAAAAAAAATAAAATAAATTCCCATTACTTCAAAAGGTACCATGCAGAACTTCATCTAAACCCTTTATTTACTTAAATGCTATTTCAGAAGTGTTAACGCTTTGTATTAACAAAATTAGTGTAATCCATCCTAATGGAGCTGTAAGCATGGAGCCTACAGATGGGAAATCAAAGATGCCTTAAAACTCTACCAAAGCAAAATAGCAATAACAAAATCTCTGCTTTTTAAAGTTTAAAATAAAGATTATTATTGAACTGGGTAATTGCAAAGCAGGCTTCTCTCTTGTTTAACGATGAAGCAAACATTTTCCAATCAGTTTTTAAAATGTTGCTTTTCAGGGAGTGCATTAGCCTACTGCAGTTCACTGTTGTCCCAGATAGTCATGCTAAAGATTCTCTTTTTCAGCCCATCAACGCTTACTCACGTTACTTCTTTGTGGTCTTAGACTACAAAGAAAAAAATTCTTCTCCCTTGAATTTAATTATGGCACTTTTTTTGCATAAGTTAGTTTTTACTTTTACTTCTTCAGAAATTATAAATAAATTGTAGTTTAGTATGCAGCTATATTGTTTCAGACCTGACTTAGTATTTGATTGCTATGCTATATGGTATGAGATAGACTTGGAAGGTTATTTGAAGATCCCTACCGTAATAGTGCGTTGTGCCATAGGCCTTAATCCATCCTTTCCATCCCACTCTTTTTGTTGTTGTTGTTATTGTTTTCTTTTGAATTCCCTTTAAAATGGTGGCAGTCATGTGCCCCCATTCTGCCTCCCCCCCCCCCCCCCCCCCCCCATTGCGTTTATGATACTAGCATTAATAAATGTGATTTGGAAGAATCCTCACCAAGGTACTTGCCCTGAGCGTTTGCCAAAAACTGCAACACAATGTTCCAGGTGTACTCTGTGGAGTCTCATAGGGCTGGTATAAAAACAGAGGATGGTGCCTCTCAGAGCTCCCTAAGACAGTATAACTGCTCACATATGAGCATGGCAATAAAACATGAACTATAGAAGAGAAAACAATCTTGCAAGGAAGGTCACACACATGCTTGCCAAAAAAGTAGTTTAGCATTTAAGGTAGCAAAAGCCACTTTATGGGTTTTAAACCACAGACCATAATAACAGTATGCATGCAGGAGGACACTCTATATCTGAGAACTCCAAGCACGCTAAGTCATCATAATTCCTCTAGGACACACAGGTGGTGCCTACTAGAACAGGAATCCCAGTGGTCCGGTTGTCACTTTGGACAGAATTAATTCAGACAGACTGATTTGTCAAAACTTTGTCAAAACCTCCAGCTTATGTCCTCAAATGCCTCTTGTTCATTCATACAAGCCAGATACTCTCTCACTATGCATCTTTCCCTACTCTAGGCCAAACGGCATCAGGATATAAGCAGGAAAAGTAAGATGTCCTAATAGCCATTTATGGGATCCTAAAAATACATAAGTTGAAAGTGTAGAGGGGCTACAGGCCACTTTATTTGGTGCTGACAGTGAAATTACATTCATTTGCCCCTGTAAATGTTTTTCTAAGTCCAGCACTATAACAGCATCCAGCACTATATAGGAAGTATAGAAGTCCTCGGTGTATGACAGCCCTGTAGGAAAATCCAAGCAGAAATTTCTATTATTGACCACTAGTCTTAATCAATTTAATGGAGCATCTGCTTTTTAGTTGTCCTTCCTTCAGTAAAATATAGCTGCTCTTAGCAACTTCATCATGCCAATTAGTAGCAAATGACTTCTTTCCATTCTGGATACTTCTTCATGTCTTTTCTTCTGTTTTACAGATCTGACACCAACACATATCAGCTGGCAGCCATCGGTCAATGCAGGCACACACCATACTGACAGATATGCCAACACGGAGTTGACTGTAAGGCGAGGACAAGCCTTCACTATTACCCTGTACTTCAACAGACCAAAGGAGACTGGGGAGAGCCTAGCATTTGTCACTGAAATAGGTAACACTCTTAGCTTAAATCAGGTTCTCACATAACTGGTCTTTATCCCTTGTAGTTCTCCCCTTATTCTATTTAGAGATGTAATTTTTCTTCGTGTATTTTTAATGCTTTTTTTCCCCCCGCAATGTGATCATTTCAAGTGTGAGGTTAATATTGAAACCACACTCTGGAATGGAAACCAATTACCGCTTCTTTCTGGCAGGACCATCCCCCTCAGAATCTCATCGTACAAAGGCTGTATTTAACCTCTCTGAGGTGGGGACAAGTGGCTGGAGTGCTGTTCAAGGACCCAGTGAGTCTGGCTATATGAACTTTACAATATCCAGCCCAGCCAATGCTGTCATTGGACGATACAACCTCATCCTCCAGGTAACCTCAGGGAACAAGATCTTCTCCAGATTCCTGGGCCAATTTGTGTTACTCTTCAACCCTTGGTGCCCAGGTAGGTACCAGTGCCTTTGCTCTTGAATGTAACTGACCTATTTGCTTTCATCTTTGCACAATGAACCTGCTCCCTCAAGTTGTCTCTCTTCAGGTTGCCAGTAGCAACAATCTCAGTTATCTGTTAGGATATCTGGTTCTACTACATTAAAAAGCTGCTGCTGCACAAGCCCCAACCTTTTAGCCTAATGAAATGTGCTATATGTGGTGATACCATAGACTCTTTCTTCAGGACTGACCAGATCACTTTTTCTGTAGATGAGGGTGGAGAGACTTTCATAAATGCATGTATTTCTCAGAACTTGAAGCAAACATACAGTAACATCCTTGACTTGCACCTAAATCAAAGCAAAACTGCTCTTGTAGATGTTAACTGCAAAGACAATAGCTCAACTAACTTTATAAAAACTGATAGAGAGCTAGTGTAACGAAGACTGGCATTTCCCATGTCTTTCATCATGGGTTAAAAAGGGACATCTCTTCCTGATCCACTTTCTATTTCTGCAGCTTCAGCATGTTGCAGAAGAAATGCAAACTCCTAAACTCTGATTTTGCAAATATGACATAGTCTAGAAACCTAGATTAGCCTTAAAATATACCACTCTACAGTTAAGTGGTCTCTTAGCCAGCCAAGTGACTAATCACTTATTTTAAAAAAAAAAAAAAAACAAACAAAAAAAACAAACCACAATCACACAATCATCCACTATTTTCTTCTGTGACCATATGCGAGTCAACGGCCACTAACAAATATGTCAAAGTCCAAGATGAAAAAAAGCTGCTAATTAGCTCAGCATGTCTTGGAAGACAGAGATAATTATAGAGCTATGTTCAGGAAACACGTATTGTCTCTGCACAGACAGTCCTGAGGGAAAATCTTTCCAGAACTCCCTGAAAGATCACTTGGAGCGTAACTTCTAATTGATGGAAACCACACTGCAGAGACTGAATTATTTGACAGCTTATTTGAACTGGAACACCAGAGTAGCAGTGGTACTCGTGAGACCAGACAAACTGTTCTCAGATGAAAACTGAGAAAAATTAAGCTGCACCATTCCAGTTTAAAACTAATGATTTTGCAGAAGAGCCCTCCAGTTTTATCAGACAATGCAGTGACCACTGTCAAACAAAACGGAGTGTCCTTAAATTAGGATGCTGATGAGTAAGCTTCTGCAGAGTGGAATAGCTCCCTGGCCCTGACAAGCAGGAATAGATTCAGTTTGAGGGTACATTACCACTATAGTATCACAGCAGAAGAGAACAAAATTATATTTTCTCAGCAAAGGATAAATGGCAGATCTGGTCTGTAGATATGGTTCTACATGGGAAGTTATTCATTATGAATCAATTCCTGTCTTTTCCAGCTTAAACTGTAATATCAGTAAAGTACAAAGAAACAGTCAGGACTAGAGATAAAGGGAAAAGCACTGGGTTGGAGAAAAGCTACGAGTGGATCCTTAAGTGTCATCTGAAAAAAATACTCTAATCAAATAGTTCATTACTGATTTTGATATGCTGACATTAAGCAGCATTGCCCATACACAGGTGGGCTGGGATACCACACAGAAATAACTGCCTGACCTTAGAGACTGGAATAGTTGAGTAGGGATAAGATAAAATATTATGAAATAAAACCCCATACGTTCAGGGAGACATAACAGTAATTTCAATGTCAGACTTACCCACTGGAAATCATGAAGAATGTGAAAGTACTTGTTAATCAAAGAAAGAGAACGAAAGTGAAATGGCCCTGAAAAATGCATAATGCAAACTTAAACTGTATTAAAGGACACAGTTACTCAGTTTTAAATATTAATACCATTGTATGAAGTGACAAGATCTCATTTGGAATCTTCTTTCAGTTAATCATTCCTGAACAGGAATTATGAACTAAAATATGTTCACTGTAGGGTTACTAGGATAACTGAACACATGAAAAGCCTTTGGACAAGACAGAATTTCTAGTTTAGCAAACCGAAAGCAGTTAGTTTCAGAGGTAGTATATCTGAAATAAATACAGAATTTGGACACAGAAAATACTGATCTTACCACAGTGGTAAGAAACCAATAAGCTTATTAATTCATCGACGTATTTGTTTCAAACCTGTGGTTAAAACAAAAGTGATGTTTTAACATTAATAGATTTCTCTTTAAGTGTCCTTAAGAGACTTTAAGATACTTGCAAGCCAGCCTCTGATAACGATACATTATGTCCAAATACTACTGAAGGAATGTACAGTTAATGACTGAAGAATGCCAATCATGAATTAATTGAATGATCATACACTGCTTATCTATAGCTCATCAGTGAACATGTCAATTGTAAAACTTGAGGGGATAAAAGGTTTGAGAATTTTATAGAATGCATCTTTTTCCGTAGATGTCTGATACTTGCCACTTGTTTCTGTAACAGAGATTACATGAAGCAAAGACTAGAAGCATACCTATATTAGAAAGCATACTTACATATTGATTAAAAACTATCAGTAGAAATTTATATCCTGCTTGTTTTTCACTACACCAGGATAAACTTTAACTTTGAGAGGACAGAAGATATATCAACTTTGTATTTCTGTATTAAAAGGAATTAATTTAATAAAGGATTAGGTCTATAGTGGTCTTTCTATAACTGTCACAAAAGAGGACTATCGCAGCCAATTGCATTGGTTTTTTGTTTTTTGGGTTTTTTTTCCTTTTTTTCCTCCTTGCGTACTGAGAGTAACAGAAGGGGATGCTATTGTTTAGTCATACTTGAAGAGACTACTTGGGTATGCTGTGGCTTTTTTTCCTCCTTTTAGAGTAATGTCAATTTTGCTCTGAGTTTTTGGTAGGAATAGTGTTTTTATAAAAAGAAATCTAAGTACACTTATTCAAAGAACTGACTCTAGAACACTATAATTGAGAGTATATAAACCTTAGGGGAAAAAAGATGTTCTTCAAGTGATTACAGGAGGACATTTAGATTGCTCAGAATCATAAACTCATAGGGCTAGAAGGATTTTAGGAAGTTATGTAGTCCCACACCATGCTCTAAGGCAGGTTCAGTTTAGCACTTTGGTCATTTCTGACAGGTCTTGAATTCCTTCTCAATGGTCAGCCATTACGGAAGCTCCAGGACCTCTCCCAACAATTCACTCCAATAAAACACTAGCCTTTCCGTTACAATTTTTTCCCTATTAATTAACCAAATCTTTTTTGCTTGGATTTTAGCATATAACTTCTCATCCTACATATGATAGCCACCAAGAGCCGATTACTCCCCATCTGCCCCATCCCCTTCACAAGAATTTCTGGAATTGATTCCAATGCTTGCCCAAGTCCTCACCCCCGTTTCTTTCTACCTTAAATAATTCTTAATTATTTCATAAGTTGTATTTTCTTCATACGTCATATTTTCAGGATTGCTGAGCATTCTCAGTGCTCCTTTCCACATCTTGAAGTGCAGCACCTGGAACTGCACACAGATCTCTAGGTGAATGCTGGCCCAAAAGCTTGGGAATAAACAATGATGATATCATTTAAAAAAAAAAAAAAAAAAAAAGATCTGTGGAGTGTGGACTGCCACCATGAAAATAGACTTATGTCATGTGATATAAGTTTTTAAATAAATTACAGTATTTTTTTTGCAGGAAGAGAAGGATGAGGAGTTCCTAGGAAGGCAAAGAAGTTTACTCAATAAAATAGAAAAGCTGATTTTTATATGTATTTCTTGAAATGCTGAAGCTTTCAGAAAGTAATTTTAAACTGTGAAATTAAACACAGAGCCAAGTAGATATTGCTACCTAAAAAATGATCAAAACAACCTAAACATCTGTGGGAAGCCAGTGCTTTCATAGCAGCTAGATACTGTGCCACAGACTAGAGAAAACAAAGAGTAACAATGAAATCAAAGTGAACGGTTGAGCAGGCTATCCTAATAACATTCCTGATAGCACTTTGGATCAGGCAAGTAGAGATCTACATTTAGGAATCTTAAAACAAGATGAAAATGACTGGAAAGCAGAGAAAAATGTCATTTGTGTGATTCTTTTCAAATGTCTATTCTACTTCTAACTACCCTGAGAGGGCACAAAAATCCAGTGAGGTAGCCTGGACTTTTCTCCATCTTCCTCAAAAAAATACAATGCACAGATAGGGGACATTTAGATAATACGCAAAGGCTATACTAAAATTAGGGAAAAAAGTTGGAGTAATGTACCATGATTTGCTCTTCCCCCCCCGCCCCGGTCATATATAATAGCAGGCATTTTCACTGAACTGTACATGTTCACTGAACTGTGACAATGCATTTTCCAAATAGTAGTTTTCCCGTTGCCAGATCAAGATACAAATGTTTTCTCGAAGGTTGCTAGTATTCCTAGCTTTAAGTGTAAAAGCATGTCCAACTTTGTTTCAGGTGATGATGTCTACATGGCTAATGAAAGTGAGAGACAAGAATATGTTCTAAATGAAAATGGAATAATCTTTGTGGGCAATGCAAAGTACATTGAAGCAAGAGGATGGTACTATGGACAGGTAAGCCACAGGGAATTCATTTGGGCTCTTTCTGTCTCCAGAAGCATTTTCTCTTATCATTATTTGCCTCTCTGATAGGTATGCCTATTTATATGAAAACTGAATAAATCCGGGTAGTCTTACTCGTGGTTTGCTCACTGTGTGCCTTATAGGACGTTGGTGTGAAAGATGGCTTAGCACAGCACTGCAGCTAGGTCTGACTTCCACATGCGCGTCAAGCTCATGGTACAAGTGTGCACCTCATCTGTGATAAAAACATCCAAAGTACAGGTGACAATATACTCGTGTGGCTCCAACACACCCACTATTCTTGTGATGCAGTTACAGTGGGCCAGAATTGACATTGACATTGAACCACAGAATGGTTTGGGTTGGGACCTTTTAAAGACCTTTTACTCCAATCTCCCTGCGATGAGCAGGGACACCTTCAACTACATCAAGTTGCTCAAAGTCCCATCCAACCTGACCTTGAATGTTTCCAGGGCTATAACTCAAGAGAATCTAATAACTGCAGTCAGAATAAGATCCACGGTATCCTGCCAAATTTTTGCTTTATTTAGTTAGCCCTCTCTTAAGCCAATATTCCAGTGTGAACTGCACACCACTGTCTCTGTGCCTCACTGTCCTTATCACCTTTGGGCTGGAATATCTTAGAAAGGAGGAATTGCAGTAGAACCTCCTCTAATTCTGCTTGGCAAAATATCTATTTTCCTAAAAACTTATCTTGTCTGATCAGTTTCAAGACCACCTTCTAAACATCTGTCTCACCATGCTTGATCTGAGCCTGTACTATCGCCAGGACCCAGCCATTGATGTATCCCGAAGAGGAGATCCTAAATATGTGGGCCGAGTCATCAGTTCCATGGTAAGAAATGGACAACTTAATCTGAGTTCCACATGCTTAGGCAGAAAGCATTAGTTATACCGCTGAGACTCAGCCACCTGCACCTTAAGCTATATAATTAACTGGATACAGTGCATTACACATAATTGATTTTGTGCATTCTGTCCACCGGCCTATTTTTAGATCAATGGAAATGATAATGATAACGGAGTTCTCCTAGGAAAGTGGCAAGGAAGTTTCCATTCACATGAGAATCCATCCAGATGGGATGGCAGTGTGGTAATTCTCCAGAAATGGCGTCAGGACAACTACAAGCCTGTTCAGTATGGCCAGTGCTGGGTTTTTGCAGGTGTGATGTGTACAGGTAAGCTTTAAGAATAGAGGGCTGTGGTAAAACGGAGGTATTTGTGACCTCTGGTTTTATCAAAACTACAACGCAATTAATTCTACAAGAGGAACAGTCCTCTGAAGATGGAAAATGCTGAAGAATCACAAAATATTTAGGCACCTAAGTTTGTTTCTCAGATATGTGTAATCATTGAACTAAAGCTGTGGGGTTTTGTTGTTTGTTTATTTGTCTGTGTGGTTTTGCTTTTGTTTTTATTTTTGTTTTGTTTTGTTTTTTTTGTAATATATTTCAGTTCTGAGGTGCTTGGGGATTCCAACTCGTTTGGTTTCAAACTTTAACTCTGCCCATGATGTGGATAGAAACCTGAGTATTGATAAATACTATGACAGCTCTGGAAAGAGTCTTAATATCAGCAAGGATTCCACGTGGTAAATACAATTTTTTGCATCTCACTGATAATTAGAGAGAGGATTTGTAAGACTTAAACATGAACACTAGTAGTAAAAAAGCAACCAAGTGGACAAAATTTAATACAAATATCTAAACTAATACACTAGATATCAATTTGGAAAGAAAACATACTTCATGGGTTTCAGATAACAGTTACTTCAAACAACCAACCAGCCCAATTTTCTGCAGTCCCTGGCCTCAAACAAGTTGCAACTTTTTTAAAAAAGTATGTTTCCACTGACAGTGTACCAGTTCCCAAGGCTCTTTTAACTACTGACCCCTAACCAGTCTGCTCCTGATAACGCAGCTGTGTACCTTCCATGCTCCTAACTGGTCTACTGCTTCCATAATTTTCTCTTATCACACATTCAAAGCCTGTGTTTCTCAGCTTGGCTTGTCATACTCCCCGGGTAGATGGGGGCCTCCCCAAGAAGTTCTCCAGCATTCCTTTAACTAGACATTCCCTTTGTAGGAGCAGAAAAAAAGAGAGAACAATCCAAACACCTCCCAACCTGTTTACTGGACACTGTAGTCCACTGCTGTAATCTGCAAGTGATCCATGATTATCAATCAAGCCCCAAAATTTGAGTAGCCAAGAAAATATTATTTTCTCTAAATAATATAGTTTTATACTTCGGTTGCCCTTCAGTTTTAAAATCTTTACTCTGCAGCCACTTTTCAGAAAGTGAACTAACTAAGCCCAAGGATATATCATATAGCTCAAAGTCTCTGTGCACGCTAGGCTTCGCCTAAAGTATCATCTTTACTTAGCCTGTTTTCACTGAGTGTATGTGATTGAAGGATATGGAAAGTCATCTCTTAAATTCCTTAAAAGTATTAGCCTCTGAACAAAATTCAGCCAACAAATCATCTTTTCAGGGTGTTCCTGTGACCTACGTTTACCAATCTTTCATGCTCTCCTTTCCTTTCGGAGTTTGTGGAACTCATTACCACTGGATGCTGTTGAAAACAAACCTGTAAGGAGTTTTTAAACAGGACAAAAGATTTTCATAGAGAATAAGATGACTAATGACCACTAAGCCCAGTAGTCTCAATATAATGACTAATTCAGAAAGTCCCTAATTCAAACTGCAAGAAATCATAGAGCATATCAGGGGAAGGGTCATTCTACTCACGTGCTGTTCTTACCTGTTTTCTAAACATCTAGTGCTGCGCACTAATACAAATGGACTACTGGACTTTATGAGCATTTATCTGACCCAGTATAGCTATGTTAAGTTTCTATTGAAATAAAGAATTTCCCACATTTGAAGATTACTAAACACAATCATCAAGTGTTGCCTACACTCAAGGCTTAATTAAGTCTTTCAGTTATAGTTCATATTTCTCCCAAAACAAGCTGTTGACATCTATATTCTCTCCCTCCTTGCCCTGAAGTCTACACCTCAAAAGCAGGCAGTAAATTTATCATTTGAAAGAGGTAGTGAGTTCCTGTAACTAGACAGCTTGTCACATCTTAGAGAATCTTTAAAAAAACAAAATCCCATACTCCTTTCAAATTGGATGCTCGTATGTCTCTATTTCTATGCTTTCTACACACTGTTCTTTGTCTTCAGGGATTATCACGTCTGGAATGAAAGCTGGTTTATTCGCCCAGACTTGGGATCATCATACAATGGATGGCAGGTTTTAGATGCAACTCCACAAGAACAAAGCAAAGGTGATAGCATAAGTTATTAGCATGACTTAACATTTCTTCTCCAAACTGAGCACAACTAACAAGGTTTGACTTTTTTCCCCTCTCATGTTTTAGGATTATTTCAGTGTGGCCCTGCATCTGTCATAGCCATCAAAGAAGGTGATGTAAACTTGGATTATGACACTTTATTTGTGTATACGGAGGTGAATGCAGATTGCAACAGATGGATTGTATACAATGATGGAACTAAGAAAAGAGTTTATTGTGATACGGAAATAATTGGCAGGTTTATCAGCACCAAAGCTGTGGGCAGCAATTCCCGTGTGGATGTCACCCATAATTACAAATATCCAGAAGGTAAAGGAATTATCACAAATAATCTCCTTGTTATCACAATTATCTCCTACTGAATTCTTGGTTCTAGAAAGCTAGGATGGGTATCCCGTTTTCTTTGAGCATCTCTCCCTTCAGGAAATATTTCTGCCAGTGTTCTCAGACTACTTTCTTAATACAATTGGTGTTACATTTCTGGTTTTGTGTATTTAGTAGTTTCCTTATTAAGACACAATACAAAATATACTTTGGTCCCTTACGTAGAACTATAAAATGTGATACATACACAAAACAGGGCTTTAAAATACATTTTACTACCCAATGCAGACAAACCCTCAAGCTGTCATACCAAAACCTCTTAAAACTGAGTCCACCATGTATCACAAACCGTGCACAGGTTTGTAATATGGAAAGTTACAGATGAGTAAGTACTAATTTTCCAGCATATATGGCAGAGAGAGTGGGGCAACAATCAAACCACTAATCTAAAACCTTAAACTTCAGTCCTCTAACTCTGGACATTCGTCTGCCTTATAACTTCATGCTCAGTTTCTCTCAGCAATTAAGTTCTTTCTTGCTGTCTCTGTTCCAACTCATCTTTCCTTCTGAAGACCCCATTAAATCTGACTCCCAAGACAAGGGACTCAATCTCTCTCTGACTGTATAAATTCACCGAGTTAGGCTCTCTTGTGCTCCTGCTCCAATATCTACCCATCAGCTACCCAGCCGTTCAGCTGTTATGTGTTTGCGCTCCCGGTGGACTCAGTCTCCACATTATCAGAATCTGGACACAAAACTACTAGGAAACAGTAAAGGGACGAAGTGTCATTCACCTGTACTTAGGAAAACAAAGCAGCAAAGGTTGAGAACTGAAAAGCCATGTTTGCAGGAATATTTTTATCTTCCCTCACAAACTTGGTACCTATGTTTTTCCATCTTTTTAAATTTAGGGTTACAGATTTCATATAATAGTTTGCTTAATGTTTATGGCTCAACGTCTTAAAAAAAAAAAAGGGGGGGGGGGAAAAAAGAGGAACAGGTATCTCAATTTTTAAAGAGTTTGCCATTCAGAATCAGTGGTCATATTTCAATACCTCACTCATCAAGGTTTTAGTGCAACCATATACAGTTTGGTTATCATCAGATTAGCAAAGTAACACTTATCACACTACTGCATGTTCTGACCAAAGAAAAATAATTTTTGCATCCTAACCAAAAACAAATGCATTTCATTTTTGTGACTTATTCACCTTATTACATTATGTTTATTACTTTCCTGTGAAAAACCTGAACAAAGACCTAATAAAAATATGGGGAACTTTTAGGTATTGCATGTATCTGGGTGATGCAGAGCTGACACCCTATATAATTCCGAAAGCCTTTATACTGAGAAGGTGCAATGTCAACAAAAGGACAAATATTTCTTGGTTCTCTCCTCTGCTCAGGTTCTTCTGAGGAAAGACGAGTTTATAAAAAGGCCTTGGCCAAGATATTTGGATCAAACATCACAGAAGGACACACAGAATCTCCAGATGAAAGACCTTCAGAGACAATTAGAAACCCTGGGATCTCTGGGAAATTCAAGCTGGCTGAACCTCCAGTGTTTGGCAAAGACATTACCCTAATCTTAATTCTCAATAACCTAACTTTTGACCACAAGACTGTGAAGGTGGACATGAGTGCGTCAACCATCCTGTACACAAGGAGAACAGTGGCAGAGATCCTGAAAGCAACCACTTCTGTGGATCTTGGTTCTAAACAAGGTAACTTTTAATGTCCCTAAGGGACCAATATATCCCTCTTCTTAGCCACATGAAGGCAACTGGCAGGAAGAAACAAGACTATCATATCTGTATCAGACTTGTAGTGCATCTACTTGTTTCATCTCTTAATAGCATTGTTTATGACTATATTTTACGAGATTTTTTTTTTTCCCTCTGAAAACTTTCAGTAGTTCAACCAGGAATTGAAGCTCTCGTGAAATGTTATATAGAAGGCTACATATATATTATAGCTCCAGAAGCAATACTTTATGCGTGTGTTTGGTGATTATTATACATATAGGAACACATCTTTATCTTAACAAAAAAAAAGTCAGACATATGCTTTCTGGCACTCAACAGGCAACACTTTAATGTAAATTAACTAGGACAAGTGTTAAAAGTTTCACTGTAACTCTGTCTCTTTTGAACAGCCAATGGTATGAAAACAATTATAGAGATCTTTTTCATCCCCAGGGGCTACAAAGATAAACATTTTTTCCATACACAGCAGAAAAACTGTAGGACTACAGTGAGGAGCTGACCAGGTCACTTGAAAAGGATCTCTGTGAAACTTGACCCAAACTTTCTTCTCGACTGAAGGAAACCAAATAGGATGTAAGGAGGGAGTAGATAAAAATGGTTATACCACTAATTCTAAGAAATACAAAGGGACAGGAATCCAGTGAAATGCAGGTGAGCAGATTCCCTCAGTTTCAGGCCAAAATCCTCCATTCAAAACTTTAAGGGTCAAATGAGTCAAAGTAGACAAGGATAAGCAGAAGAGGGAATATACACCAGAAGAGGGAATACACAACCAGTCTCAAAAGGCAGAAATATATACAGACTCCAGCTGTCTTATCTTCTGGTCTCTTCAGTAATTTCAAAAATGCTCACAATAACTCTCTTTCGCATTATTTGAGAATGTAAAGGTTCCTAAATATATGTCTGAATTCCAGGGAAACATATCCGGTTAAAGATCCCTTATTCTTATTATGGAAAATATCTGACTACTGACAAAAGGATCCAAGTTACTGCTTTGTGTGAAGTCATGCACATGCATGGGGTAAAGTTGCTGGTGGAGAAGACAATCATTTTAGAGGACACAAACATTATCATTAAGGTAAACAGTTCTCTCCCTGATGTCCCGAACAGACAGAAATAACTAAAGAGTCTTTCTGGAGCTCAGATCTTAAGATGAGAATTTGGGGATATGTGCATTAATTTAGGCCCCAATTTCAGATGTTGCTCTAAAATTAAATTGAGAAAGTAAGCATGCAAGACACCAATTTTGAATCTTTGCCTGAATGTGCCCCGTGTTCTTCAGAACAGCTCTGTTACCTTCTTTCTTTCCCAGTCACATGCCGCTGCTTTACGTTCATCAGAACTTGTTTTCATTTCACCTGTATTCTAGTTATTGACAAGTGCACGTGTTGGCCTTATACAACTTTGCCTACTCCTCAAAATACCAATTTAAACCCTTAATCATAATCTATGCTAGGTCCAGTTAATATTGTTTTAACACTTCTACCCTAATCAACGATGTGCCAAAAAACCCACTCAGGAAGCCAAAGATCGGACAGGTTTAATGAGACATGTCTGTATAGTCAGGGCTCTATTTCACTGAAATTGTGCACAGACTCCTGCATACAGCTTGACAGCACTGTTTATCTCATCCAAATCCAGCTTCAAGTATTAGGAAAGGCATACTAGCCATCATTTAAATTTCACTTCTCCTACCAATATCTCATTCATCCTCAAATACAAGAGGTGTTCTGCTTACAGTTTGACTGAAGTCTGGCTCCAGAAAAGTGGAAAACAGTGAATGATCAGAAACGTGTCTTTGCAATTTAGATTCCTCGGCGGGTTGTAGTGAACAAAGCTGTTACTCTAGAGATCTCCTATGCCAATCCCCTCCCTGAACCGGTGAACTGCTGTGTACTACTAGTGACTTTGATGAATCAACAGGTCAAGATAAAGTAAGTGAAAGCTGTAGTCAGTGCTTCTAATATGACCAATAGCATGTCTAGTTTCCCAGTAAGAGAAAAATCATGGTGGAATTGTCTTTCTTTATATTTGCTATTTATGAAAATAAAAATGCCACCAAATATATATTGAGATATGATGATTTCTCAATCAGATATTTTTTTTTTTCCATGTAGGAACTTCTTTAACAACTAAAACCTTCTAAAGCAAACAGGCATGTCAAATTCTTTTGTGTCTCTGGTATTTCTTATACAGCTTGGTTTTGTGTTTCTATGTAGTTTTTTGGGTTTTTTATATACAGTACCCTAATACTAGAAAAATAAGTCTGAGCTGAAACAAGTAATACACTGCCATAGCTTCCCTCATTTCAGCCCAAACAAGAAGTTGCTCTCTTCTCCTTTGAAGTAAGATAAAATCATGCCTTTTCAAAACATGAGAGCAAAATGGTTTTTTTCTTTTCCTCTGGACTCGGCTGCTTTATGGATTAACTCAGTGTTGAGTAGTTCATATTTTCTAAAGCTTGCAAAATTTCCTAAAGCCTGACTTGCTGGGGCTCTGGAAATATTTGCACATAATAATCCATAAAAATATGGAAAACATTATTCCAGTGAAAGACTAAGGCAACTTAGGCCAAAAGAAGACACAAAACAAAGCACCCTGACGATTACAAAAAGCATACTATTGCCAAAGTGATATGAACCAAGCAGGCATTGGACAGAGTGCTAAACTTTGACATGACAGTTTTCCTATTCTGTGTTGGTTATCAAAACTTGCACTCAGCCCTAAGATGGAGGCATGACATACCAATTCTCATTTCCATCAGTCTATTCAAGAATAAATTAAGATAGTAATACCTTTTCTCATTTCTTAGTCTACACAAGGCCTCAAACCCTAAGTACTTCTCAAAAACCAAGGCTGGGTCTCAAGTAACTGTTGATGCCCTAGGTAGCATGCAGTTTTTCTTCTTGGGAATCTCAAGGAAAGACAATGCAAGCCTGATTTAATTGTGTTTTTTTGTTTTTTGTTTTTTTTTTTCCCCCCTCCTCCAGCCTGGCACAACTGGCACCGAGGGAGAGATCAAAAATTTACTTTGAATTCACACCTCGCAGGACTGGGCCCTTACAGCTGCAAGTAGACTTCTCTTGTGACAAATTTTCACATGTTAAGGGATTTGTAACCATTGCAGTAGCACCTGCATAATGTGATGCAATCAATCTCCTATTTCAGCATTAACATGGCAAGACATACTCCTCTGTATAGGGACAGTGATGACAGCAAGAAACTTTCCACAAAAATTGGTGACCCTGCAATAGAATCAAGTCTCCTGCTTTCACAGTGCTTAATTATTTAGTCTCTAATTGTATTTCTTTTTTTTTTTGTCCTCTTGTCTAGAAAAATGAAGCTTCTTCCTTGTAGAAATAGTTCCACTGTTTTATCAAATCTTATTTTGTTAAGCTCCTGGTTTTCACTTTTCCATCAGATTATTAATACAGTCTCTTTTCAACCACATTCTAATTGTCAGCAATAAATAAAAACTATTCATATAATTGTATTCTGTTGTAATGAGTTGTGCATTCCATGGAAATATGAGAAATCACAAGATTGAGGAAAGTTCTTTTTCCTTCATTTTACAAGCTTTTTCCTAACAAAATAGAACATTTCCTCCATTGTTCATTTATTTTCTGTATTTTGTGACACCTGTAACTCCATGAATGGGGAGGGAAAAAAACCTACAAAGGCTGGAAAAAGTAATGTTTGGAGTCCATGACAGCAGTATTTCTATAGCCTGTGGGCATAAGCCTGTCACAGAGCAGACAACACATGTACATATTCGAATCAGTAACTTAATTCCTATGTAACATGACAGAGTCCAAAGCACCTTGAAGCACAGGGAGAGTCTTGCATTAATATGGAAGTCCAGAAACACAAGATAACTGTCACCTTTTGCCCACCAGTGTAAGGTCACTGGAGACAAGGAACATTTGTCTTCAAACCTTCTCGGTGCAACTTGTTCACAGGCAGCCCCTACTCCATACCTTTGTCACAGTGTTTGCATACCGATGCCTATTTTGTGGGTTCCCTAATCCTAACATTGCCAGCTACCAGGTCTCACCTGAAATGCACTTTCAGGTAGCCTTTAGAATTCTCCATTACTGCAGGCAACGTAGCCTCTCCAAGGACTGCTATGAAAGCTAATGACTGACAGGACACAGCATCCACCTGGCTACAGTTCAGAAGTAGAGTGTGAGGCAACGATTGTGTACAAGTAGCCCTGCCAAGCCTGAAAATTTAGATTCATTATCCGATTTATAAAATGTTTAATGCAAAATTAATAAGGCCAAAAATCTGAATCACAGAGCTGTCAGGAGTTTGATAAGGACATCTTTTGTCTGACAGGTAATAATATTTCAGAGAGTCTGATTCATCCAGACATGATCACAAATTCTTACTGAAAAAAATACACAAGAAATCATAACAAAACTTTACACTCCCTTCTTTCAAAATAAATTTAAGCTGCAGGTAATTAATTTGCCTTTTTGGTTGCTGGCAATCTTGATATGAATGTGGACACAAACCAGAAAACAGCAACTGAGAAAGAAAGACACAATGTAGAAGTGTAGAGGTGAGGAAAATAAGGCATCACCCCTTCCCCCTTTACACCCCTTACTCCTAAATCACAGTCCACTGAAAGTTCAGAACACCATGCGACCTCCTTTCAGGACAAATTGGCAGGACATGTTTCTAGATAAGTTGTGACACAGGATGAGGGAGGAGAGAGCATAAGGGAGCTTCAAGAGTGGAGAAGAGAATGTCTGTAATTAGAGTAGGCAGGGCTTACACCAGAAGAACAGCTCTGTAACTTCCTCCAGAACCCAGCTCAAGATGCCGTGCCAAATAGCCATTGAGAAACTAGGTACAGATATTATGAATGCCAAACTATAAAGAAAAATTATTAAAAGTAGAGGCAGCCATTAAACACTTCTCTCTACTTAACAGAAATTCCTGATGCACAGGTAACTGCAGAATAATGCCCTCTCAGTGAGACGTATTGCTTCTTATATAAGAAATGCACATTATACGTAATCATGTCAGCAACAGATAATGAGAACGTCACAACTCTGCATGCTTCCAAGAAAGAATGAATTATACACAGTTATGTGAAAGATCTTCAAGCAGACCTGTCTAAAAAAAAAAAAAGTGGTTTATGCTATTCAAAGCCATGATGCTACTGACTGACAGTAACACTAATATATTACAAACCTACTTAGACCACCCCATGCCCCATACACCCATGTTCTACAATATGTATATTTATCTATACCTGCCCTCTGTCCACACAGCCTCCAAAAACCTAAACGGACACAAACCAAACCATACAAAATTAAGTTTCTTCTGTCTACCTAAGAGTATATTTCCTTCATTAGATCCAGTTTGGGATGTTTTCCTCTCTTAGTAGTTAAGACACCAGGATATTCTTAATCATCTTTCCTCAGTCATTCACCAGTTTTAAATAAGCATAATTAGATTCAAGATTGTGCAATTAAAGCAGTCATAAGTAGATGCACACGTAGGACATTACTACAAAAACAGTAACTAGCAACCACAGGTCACACCCAGCTTGTATAAACTCTAGTTTATGTAGTGAAGTCAAGAGTCCTAAACCTTTCATTGCTCACACTGGTTGAAGAGGATTCCGAATGCTCATGTGCACTTTTGTATCTATAAACTGAACTACGCACAAGTGTGGAAAAGAAGAAAGAAACCTTATGGCGGGTAAGTTAAAAACAGCCTGATTGCTCCAGACATCACTCTTCCAATACTGATGAGTGATACTTGCTGAGGAAACAGGATAAATTACATCTACTTGTTCTCTTAGCAATTTAGCCCTTTTTGGGTTAAATGCATTTATGGGTTATTCTACTAGAACTGATTTTTTATTTTTTTTTTTTTAATATAATGGGTCTTGACCATATTCTTTTCTCCTGTAACACAGAAAAAAAGACTAAGAAAATATTTTTCTATCAAATCCACTAACTACTCCATACAGTGCTTTTGCAGCCACCTAATCAACACTCTTGGCTAGTGATTTTGGCAAAATGCCACATAGAAGTCCCAGGCTCTAATCCCTCTCTGCTATCGAATTGTTGTCTGGCCTGACAGATCATTTGATGGCCTCTGGAATCCCATGTTCACCGCTCTACAGAGTGGCTATGGTAGCCTGTGTGATGTTTTTTTGAAGTGGAATCCTAGTACCTATGTATTATATTGCACTTGCTCCCACTCTCATGCTGACTGGAAAGATCTCTAGTTAGAAAGATGTCATGTAATACCCCCTTGCCTTCCGCCCTCCCCCCCCCCCCCCAAAGTCTATCTACAATTTAACCTAAGGATTTTTTTCTGTTATAGCTTCAGCTTTTTGTCAGAGGGAACAAGAACCCTGCATGCATAATGATCAGCATTTTCACCCGCGATCACCAATTCTGCAGACTTTTGCTTATGAGCATGCTCCCAATGTCTATCCATTAGAGGATAAACACCCAAACAAATTTTTAGAAGTTTGTCCAATTGTACATTAACAGGGTTGTTGAAAATATATTTTTCCAGAGAGATACTGAGCAGAAAAAGAAATTGTAAGATTGAAATTGAGACTGTGAGGATCAAAACAAGGAGAAATTTGAAGTACACATGGTCAAAATGCTGGTATCGGGCTTTATTGTGCCCTTGCCACATATATAAACCATTTGTTGCTGATCTGCACATATTCACTAGAAAAGCCTGTGCAATTGCAGACTTCGCAAGGTAAACCAAACCATTAATGCAGTAAATTCTTAAAGCTAACCAATGCTAGCCACTGCCTTCTTTATCCTTCCTATTTCTCCAGGTGTCCCCTCTTACTCTGTTGTACAACTTGTCTTTGCCTGTGACATTCCATCCTGAAAGTCTTAGCAGGACTGTTTAGGTCCTTAAATGTCAGAGTCTCACTAGTAACAAACCCATGGCTGGGTTACTGTTAAATCCTGTATGTGCTGCGTTTTTTTTTGGCAGACAGGCAAAATGCTCTTAGTTATCTGCATCACTGCACAACTAATAATACGCTCGCTCCCCACCCCAAAGAGCCTGGACATTTGACTTGCACAGTTCAGGATACACAGTGGTTGGATATACACAGGTAAAGTGTTGCAAAGCTAACTTGTTTTCAAACTCTGAGCCCAAGTGCCCTTCAGAAACATGTTCCAATTTGCTCTTAAATTAGAGGACTCGATGTTAGGAATGCTGTTTTCTGTAGGTCCTTTTCAATTAAACATATTTAAGTCAGGAAAATAAAGAGATGATGCAAGCGAGAAACTTTCTAGGCCCTTTACATCCTGCAACTCAAACATCACACTCCTATCAACCGATTTATTTTTTTTTCCAGGTGACATATCTGAAACAAGGCCCTTCACTTAACTGAAAACACTCAAACATGTTTATGCTTACAGACTACAGGAAAGCAACTTGCTCCAGGGCCTTACTGCAGCCTCAGAACTGCATGTGCACATTTATATTTCTTCCAAAAAGATGAAAAATTGGTATAATTATGACATCAAGACTTCACAGAATACAATTCTGTGCTGCAAACACAGCAGAAAACTCAAATCCCTCCCTCTCTATTTCTGTAGTAGAAGCATATGGATTCTTTCATTCCAAGTGATTCAAGGCAGTGCTAAAATAAGTCCTCTATCTTCAGTGAAATGATGGAAGTATCGATTACAGCACCATTAGTCTGAAAAGGGTTGACATGCTCTAGTCATGGCAGGAAATTTTCTTCAAGTGAAATTCCTCTGGAATATCATGCCGAGGAAGGGCACTTCTCAAACGTGTTCACAGAGGGATCTGTATTTTTCTGCTTTTTGTTTGTTGTTTTTTAATTGCTTTTTTAATTGACCAAAGAACAAGAAATGTTGAAAGCTTCTGTAATCTGTGTTTCAGCGTCCCATTTCCAATAGTGGGCAACCTATCACAATACAACAGAGCAACCCATAGCACTACCGCAAGACATGCCACTCCTAACCCTACTATCTGTCATCTGCTGGTTATCTTCTTCCAAAAGAATGTAAAATAACACCCAGCTTCAAGCAACAAGACTGTAAATTAACTGAGATACAAGATACGTGAGAAGAAAATGTGCAAGGTTGACAATGAAGATACTAGCCTTCTGTTCATCGTCTGTCATACAGTGTGCCTAGGATCAGGCATGCCCTTGCTCATGAGAGTTTTAATACTTCTTTCTGTACATTTGTAAAGCATTCTGGGAACTAAAGATCCCTACAGAAAAAGAGTAGGAACATGGTGGAATAGAACAGTCTCTTTAAACTTTAACAAAGTCTTATCTACATACAATAGGTTTTTGATTAATTTTTTTTTTAATCAAAGATGAATTTTCTGAATGGGTGCTTTACCTGTCTCTGAAGGATGCCTGCAGAAAAGATATTTTAGCTGTTCCTCTAAGTTGTTGTTTATTTTGCAACTTTTAATAACAGTGGATTTTTCCATTTTCCTAGAACATGGAACTTCAGCTATATATAAATGTAATAAAATTACTACATTAGAAGATACAGTGTTTTTAATTAACTTGCCTTATGTCTTTCTAGCCCTGAAAATAGCAAATGTCAATTGGCAATTCAAACTAAATAAAGCTGCACACCACACCT